GACTTGTGACATCACAAAATGACGAAAGTATAAAACTTGTCGTTAATATACATTAAAAATACATTTACTTACAGTAAATATGCCCCTGGGTGCATTTTTTTTGGTCCTAGGACTGTTTTTTTAAGAAATACATACCCAAAGATGAGTAAAAAAAAACATTAAGTGAATTTTGCATAACTGGTCCCCTTTAAAATAAGTTTCCATTCTCAGCAGGTTTCTAAGGTTCTTCTTCTACATATTAAAAAGTTGTTAAACATCTGAGTGGTGCACTACTGCTACTAGTGGTGAGRAAGTGTATTGCACCTTATTTAAAACCAATGTGGCCCTACGGCACTCTGCGACACAAAGTTAAAACCTGTTGTTCTTTGGAGGCCCTCAAGGTGGCGCTATAGGTTAAGAATCTCTGCTTTAGAGCAGTGGTTCCTGAAGCTGAGGTCCTGAAAAGATTTTTGAATTAATGACACTAAAAAATTACAGCTAACAACAATTTTTTGCCTTTGTTGTTACAAAGTTAAGTTAGTGTACGTAAACTTGACAAAGAGTAATGGATATTGTTACTTTGCTCCTGTTTGTTTGAAGTAAAACAGTGTTTATGAACAGCAGCAGCTGGGGGCTCAGGTCTCTCCTGCTCATATTTTCTGGGTCAAAAGCTGAAAAGTCAGTGAACCACTGCTTTAGAGGTTGCCTCTACTCCAGTTATTATGGTAATAGCTGCACTAAATTGAGCCAATCAAAGCTTTTGTTTACCCTGTGGGGCCAATGCTGTGAGCTCCAGAGCAGAACAGGCTTACTCCAAAATCAGAGCAGTTTTTGCTGAAAACAGTTGTTTTAAAGTTGGATGGACAGAGAACTCTGTRTTCATGCTTCATGCAGGCCTGTTGGCCTCTTCTGCTCCAAAACTGTTGATTCATTAAAGCACCAGCAGGAAACACAGCTTAGCTCTTTRGAGCCACTTAATTAACTGAAGTCCAAGCAGAGAGCAGGCAAAATAAGCAAACTGCAAGCCCAGTATGAGATCTACAGGCCAGCAGTGTGGGAGCAAAGCTTCAGTCAATGTGGAGTGGGTTTAGAGGAAACAGGACAGTTGTTGTCAGGAGAGCCTGAATGTTGTTGTTCAGACATTTGATGAAAAACTAAAAGACAAGATCTAAATCCTGACGTCTTCAACAGCARCCAGAAATGTTAGCAGAGCTAGTTTACTATAAAGTGCAGTTTGTCAACAGTGGAAATGTGAAACTACAGACCATAAAACAAAGTTGGAGTTTGTTTGGACCGGTCTCTGGGCTGAACAGTAGGTTCTGAAACGTTTCTGAACCTGTGTAGAGAAAGGCTCTTTAATGGATCTGCTAAAGTATCATGTGTGATCAGGCTGTCACTGTGCTGCTTTACACACACACACACACAATAGTGTTGAAACCATAAA